TCATTGTAAAGAGGGGCATGAAACATGCCAACTCTGTGGAGACTAGCCTGTGGTTGGGATCGTGGCTCAGGTGTGAGACCTGGAGTGCAAAAATCTGGGGTTTGTTCCTGGGCCTGCCACTGAAGAGTGTAGCCTCCTTGTGCTGCCTCTTCCTCACTTAGAAGAACTTGACCTCACAGGGGTGGTTGTGAGGCTGAATTCATTGCTGGTGAAGTGTTTTAAGAACCTTGCAGAGACAGGTGTGTGGCCTGGCATAGGGCAAGTAGAAGGTTCTTATAAGCTCCCCAGAGCCAAATCAGTGAGGCTTCACTCTGGACATGTAAAAGTTCACTGGTGCAGAGCTACAAAGTGTTTTTTTGGGGGGGACTTCTATACTCGCTGTGGTGCATTTTAGATGCTAGGGCTAACATTCTGAAACAAGGGACTCAGATCATCTGCTGTTGCTGTGGAAGCCCCAGCTTTCAACAGAACTAGACCTTCAGGCTCCTATGCTGCTCCCTCGTCTCCAGCTCTTCACTCTCACCTCAGAATGTGCCCGAGCTGGGGGCACAGGCAGACTTGGTTAAGGCCTGGCTCTCTTAGAAACATGTTGGGGCAGGTGGCTTGCAAGAGCAGTGTTGGATTCAGTGATGTGGGTTTTTCCTTTAATGTCTTGTCTAGCTTAGTTGCAGGATTTGTAGTGGGTGTGGAACACTGAGAATGGGTTTCAGGCAGTTGTTAGTTAGAGAAACTGAAAATGACATGATGAGTCCAATTCCCTGCTCTTTCAAGAGGGCACAGCTCTGCTGTCATACACCAGCAGTGATAATTTGTGGTCCCAGCCCTCACTACCAGTTTGGTTTGTTGTTTCCATGAGGGTTTTTCCTTCACTCCAAAATCTTCCCTACTCTCTCCCCACCTTCAGAAACCAGAAGGACAAATGACAATGGTAAGAAGTCAAGAACCTGGCAGAATGGAAAGCAGATGGGAAGGAGTTAGTGGAATGCACAAAAACGACTTGTCCAAAAACCTCAAGCCAGTCTTTGCTGAGCCTTGAATATAAAAGCTGCAATGTATGCTAATTCTGGGAACTGAAATGGCCTGTGACTAAAATGTGTTTCAGGGCAGCAGGACATCAGCTCTTACGCAATTGAACTCTGGAAGATTTTTATTTTTATTAAACCCAAATGTTGCTAAGGATGTCCAGAAGACTAATTCTGTCCTAAGGTGTGAGACTTGATGGCATCTTTTTCCAACTAATGTAGAAGAGCAGCTGTTTTTCCTTTTTGGGTTTTACTTTGGTTCTGTGATACATTGTTAGGAAGGAATAGCTTCTTGGTGGTGGTTCTGTAGTACCAATCAATTGCATGGCACATCTCTTTCCTTTTGCAGCAGGAGCTTGTGGGATGGATATGAAGGGGGTTGAGAAGTGTTCCTGTTATGTTTCATCCTGGACAGTGCTCCAGTTGCTCTCAGGGTTATGCTTGCAATTGGTTCCTGAAGGAACTCCACTAGTAAGTCCCTTGCTGCAAAGAGCTCTAGTTATCCAGGGGCCACCTGCATTTTTTTTTTTCCTTTCACTACATCACTGTCACTGCCAACATTTCCAACCCCAGATGAGGTGATCTCATAGTGCTAGTAGTATTGAAACATCCAGCACTGTTGTCCCTGTAAAGTTGAGCACAAATGCCCCTCTGTGGGTACCTGCAAAGACAATGCAGCTGGGTTGAGAATGAGGGTTTTTTTATACACTTAGCTGTCCTGAGGTTACCTATGGTCCAACTGCACCATTTTCTACCCTGCTTTGCTGTGAAACATCTGACCACAGAAATGTTGACTCATGAACCAAGCTGATAGAAAATGCTGTGATTTCTGTTCCAGAGCCTCCATTGTTTTCAGCTGCCTGCGTTGTTTGTTGTGTTCTCCTCTTTCGGGGTCTGTTTTCTACATTTGGGCCTTAGCAGGTTGCGAGAGGCTTCCATGGTTAGCAGTAGCCACCTTTGGGATTTCATGGGAATGTGAGAAGGGCCAGAGGGAGGTGGAAGAGAACTCTTCCATCAACCCTCTTTAGTCTTCACCGCAGTGAGCCCTGCAGTTTGTATTCTGTAAAACTTGGTATATTTCTGTGCAAAAAAAAAAAAAAATTAAAAAAAAAGGGGGGAAAAAAAAAGAAACCCTGACAAAATTGTTCAACGTGATGCTTCTTCAAACTAAACCTGTTCAAGTCCAGCAGGAGCCTAACCAGGGGTAGGCAAGCAGGTCACTAGTGTTAGCAAATAAAAGCCTAGGATTCCAGACTAGCCTAGGGATTGACACGACACCTCGTTCAATGAGCAACAGAAAGGCTTTATTTACTACAAGTATTTAAAATCAAGTTAGATGAGCCCAAACCAAATCCAAGCCCAGTAATTAGCTATAAGGTCATGATTTCTTACCAAACAGGTGATCTGTTTCTCTTCAACTTTTCAAGTAAGTCAGGTGCATGTGGTGTCAGAGACATTTTTTACTCTCGAAGCACGCACACTGTTTTACTGCTTTTTTATACCCCGAGTTTAGCATCTTCAAAGCATTCATTTAGTTGTGTAAAAATCGAGAGAAAGTCCCAAGCAGTAATTGACAGGAAAAACCTGCTCATTACTGGTTATCAGAAATTTCTAAATTTGAGTGAGTTACCAGTAAGAAGAGGTTATCCAGTTTGGAACATAATCAGTTTCTTAACAACAGCCAGGAAAAACATACTAAATCAGGAGGAGACATCTATCACATATGGAGAATGTCTCTTCCTGAACATAAACATGAGTTAGTCACAAAAGAAATGTAACCCAGGCAGTACTCCAAGATGTACCCCATCTCTAATTGAAGGGATCAGAGCAGGTACACAAGCGTTGTGGGAGGTGTAAGGATCCTCTCTCTCCCATAGAGCAGAGCCAGACCACCAATGGAGACTTAACCATATACCTTTTAATGAGAAAAACAGTAGTGGGAACATAACATATAAACTAGGGGGTATAGGGGATACTACAACACCCTGAGGGGGCAGGATTCAATAAAGGTTAGGCACTTACAATCTTGTCAACTGGATGAATATGTATAAAGACAGGGTTAACCAAAATATAAAACACAAACAGCAGAGCAATCAATCCTGGCTGGTGAAGTATAAAAGGTACAAAATACAAAATGTCAAATAACAAGAAATATAGGGCCAGGGTACCTGGAGTGGAGAAAGAGGGAAAACACCATGACCCCTTTTCCACTGCAACAAGAATGTCTCCCTGACACTTCACTCACCCCAATTCATCCCAGCTAGGACTTGAACTCAGATCTCCCACATGGTAGGCAGAAATGCTACCATATATAGTCACCAGTGCTACTACTGCTCTAAGCTGCTAGGGGTTTTGATTTTCCAGGAGCCCCTGCCTCACATTGAACTTCCTGGAGCTCAGGACCCTCTCCTGCTGGCAGCAGCCTCTCATAGGGGATCCTGGAGCCCAGTGGGGAGTCTCTCCTGCTAGCTGTATGCCATGTTGCTGAGGGTCCATCTGCTGCCTGCAGGTCCCACTCCTTCAGGTTCTTCTGGGACAACTGCTCCCACCCTGCTGGCCCAGCTCTTTAAAACTCCTTCCTTGCAGCCCCTCACCAGTCTTTGAATCAGCTGCTCTGCCCCTTTTATCCCCCTCCAGGTGACCCAAGGGCCAATCAGGGGACATGGAGGGTGAGTCTCTGGGGCCTCATTGGTGAGGAAAGGGAATCCCAAGTCCTCCAATCATCTTTTACCCTTTCAAAACCCCTGGGCCAGATCATTACCAGCTAGCCTGTCACAGAAATATTTACCATACTAATTAATCAAGGATAGACATTTCATACACACCAGACAACTAAGAGTCTGCCTGAAATCATCCTGAATATAGCAAGATAAGCTAGAAGAGATACTTTATTATTTCTTCTCAGATGGCCTAGCCATGAACTTGCATCCTCTTGCAATATGCAGTTAGCATCAGTATTCTGTATTTTAACTTTTGTGAGTAGGTCCAAGCTTAGCATGAATTTCAGTCATCACTAGTTCTGGGTGCCCTTTTTTATTGGGGGGAGCGGGGGAGGGGGGCTTAGAGGGAGTATCAGAATTGCAGGCAGCAGCTGCGGTCTCTGCTCCAGGTAAGACTGACATCTCTCCCTTAAATCTGCCCAGGGCGCTTGCTAGTTATACATTGGGTCAAGTGGGTCTGGGAGGTCTCAGCCCCTTCAGGATACAGGGCATGATTCAGCTTGATACCTTATGAAGCTCCCATTTCCAGTGCAAAAGGAGCATGCAGCTCTACCAAAGAAGGATTCAGCAGTAGCATTCTTCTATTTTGCACTAGTGTAAATGGTAAAATCACAAGGTACAGGCCTCAGGGTACACGGAATTGGGCCCCTCTTGTCCTTTTATTGACTAGCTTTTTAAATTTAATAAAGTAGCTTTTCCTTTAATGACTTAAGACCCAGCATACAGAGCCAGAGCTGGTATTATCAGGAGGTAAGATGTAGCTTGGAAGCCCTTCTTGGAAAATCAGTTGTATCCTAGAATGCTGGGTTCTACGTCCAGGGAGGTATGTCTTGGTTAAAGGACAGTGCTGAGAACTGGAACATTTGGATTTTGTTGCTGACTTGTGCAACCCTGGCTTGGCTTTCTTGCTCCTCTTCCTACCACCCTCCTCTCCAGCTATGAAGATTTGCTCACAGATAGCAGTATATTTTTAAAGCATAATGACAGTTGATCTGCAAGGTTATGGTTTCTGACTTGACTGTCTCTTTAAGATGACAACTGTATGATCTGCAGCGTCCTGGAATTTGCACAAGACAAATGCAGC